GCGAGGAGCAGGCTGGTTTTCGTTCTTGTCGAGGATGTATTGATCATATCTTCACCCTCCGCCAAATGTTAGAACACCGCCATACTTATCAAAGGCCAACAATCGTAGTGTTTCTTGACATCAGGGCTACCTTCGATTTGTTGGATAGGACTGTTCTCTGGGATTGTCTATTGAAGAAGGGTGTGCCTGAGAAGTTTATTAACATCCTAAAAGCCCTATATACAAACACTTTAAACAGAGTGAGGGCATACAACCACCTCACTCCATTGTTTCATTCAAACAGTGGGGTTAGACAGGGTTGCCCAATATCACCATTCCTCTTCAACTTTGCCATCCATGACATTCTGTAAACAGCGCTGATGGATGTAAGTAATGGCTGTGTGGATCTGTTGCCTGGAGAAAGACTTCTGTACTTCGAGTATGCGGATGATATTGTCTTACTGTACAATAATACCCAAGGCATGCAATCCGTACTTAATCAGTTGGCAATCAGTGTCCGTAGGTATGGTATGTGCTTTGCACCTTCGAAGTGCAAAGTACTTCTACAAGACTAGCAGGATCCTAATACTCACCCTGGACGGTGAGCAGATAGAAGTAGTCGAGAAGTCCGTGTATCTAGGTAGCTGCATAAGTGCTGGTGGGGGTGTGAGTGATGAGATCAATGCACGAATAGTGGAAGCCAGAGCGGCTTATGCCAATTTGGGCCACCTTTGGCGCCTTCGTGGTGTTAGTCTGGTTGTAAAAGGTCGGATCTACAACGCGTCGGTGAGAGCAGTTTCTCTCCATGCTTGTGAAACCTGGCCTCTCCGAGTTGAGGACGTTAGACGACTCTCTGTGTTCGATCATCGTTGTCTCCGAAGGATTGCTGACATCCAGTCGCAACATCATGTTAGTAATGCAGAGGTTCGGCATCGTGTGTTCGGGCACAGAGATGATAATGCAATCGATGTCACCATCTTGAAACACCGACTTCGGTGGCTTGGACATGTTCTACGAATGTCGTCCCAGAGAATTCCACGTCGTGCATTATTTGCCGACTCTGGGACTGGTTGGAAGAAGCGGAGAGGTGGTCAGCGCATGACATGGTGTCGTGGCATGAAAGAAAGCTGCAAAGGACTGGCTTGTGTTGGTCCTTCACGACTCCCTGGTTGCGGTCCGAGAGATGGTGCAACACAGTGGCTAGAGACGTTATCAGATATAGCTTAGAATAGAAGCTAGTGGCGATCCTGCTGTAACCTTCTTTTACTTTCTTCATAAAAAAGTGGTTGTGTCTCCCTTAACTGAAAGACTTTTTCTGATTGTACCTTTCCGTTCCTTCATTATTACTACACTACCCTACACCAATCCCTTCGTTATTGTTTTCTTTTTTTTTACACTCCTTACCTTTTTTTCTCTTCGAATTCTCATTGTTTTGTGTGGTGCATATATATTGGCGCTCTCTTGTACCAATATTTGTGTTCAAATAAATAAATAAAATAAATTTGGATACTCGGCGAGGTAACCATAACGCACAAAAACCTTTGGCAGCTGCTGCGTAGCGATGAGTAGTTGTTTTGAAGTCGCGACTTACTTTTGTGTTCCTGTACTTATGGAAGCAATGTACCGTTGATAGCATACTGGTAACTATTACCATGCCCAATGTGCATGAGCACACTCTTACTGAAATTAATTCCTAACCTCCAGGTTTTGGACCATCTAAGTAGTTGGTTTAAGACAGCTTGGAGGTCGAGTGATCAGTCTCACTTCTTACTGTTCTCCAGATTTTGACATCGTCCGCAGACAATAATGACGATGAACTAAGCGATCGCGGTAATTTATTGACGTGGAGAAGGAGAAGTAGAAGATCTTAGATGGTGCCTTGGCGTACACTACTTTTGATCGGCTTCCATCCAGATAGTGTCCCATTTACTCTCGCTTTCTGTCTTCGACCGCAGAGGAAGTTTCTCATCCATTCCTGTATATTACCAGCTATTCCGAATCTCGAGAGCTTCTGCATAAGACCTAAGTGAGAGACCTTACCAAATGCTTTGCTTAAGTCTAGGAATATATCAACAGCACACTGTTATCTTGGGCTGCTGTCCAATCCTCTCTCGCAATAAGTAATTTGCCTAAAAATGAATGCTTATATCGAAAACTGTGTTGTTCGGGAGTTAACAAATCGTATGATTCTATGTGACTTAGTAATTTAACCCGAATCACCTTTTCAAGTAACTTAACCACTATTTGGTCAGACTGACAGGCCTGCAGTTAGACACAGTCAGTCAGTCAGTAACAACGCAGAACTTCGTACGTACGTACATCAGTTCGAGTTGCCACACCACATTAGCACAGAGACGCAGTGATCGACTCAAATCCCGTAGAGCTAGATGTAGTAAAATTATAAGCTGTAATCAGAAAAATTAGGGTTTGAAGATGTTATTCAAGGAGTGTAATCCAGTGAAATAAATTTGGAAAGAGAAAAAAGAAAGGGACATGAAGAATTCAGAAGATTAGAATTTGGGAGAACACAAAGAGTGGATGCACCTGCGCCATTGCAAACGATTTTGAGCCATGTCATTCAGGGTCTCTAACTATCGGTTGCTATCATCTCGCGGTCCCCAACCAGGTAGTCTACACCTACCAACATGACTCAGTCCACTTGCCAGTGACTTCATGGATTTGTGCCATGTATTGGTCTGGCCGCGCCTACCTTTCTTCCAACCTACTCCTATACCACTGAACACCGCACATCGAGGCAGTCGGTGGTTGGGCATACGTAACACATGTCCCAGCCATCTCAACTGATGAAGTTCCACTACATCGATTGATTTGCCATTCTTAAATAGTACCCATTTCCTAACAACTGCATTACTTACTCGATGGTCCCAGGATATACGAGCAATGTTTCGAAGACACCTATGATCAAATACTAGTAACCTACGGATATCCTCTACTCTTACCGGTCATGTTTCACTGCCATAAAGTAGGACGGAACGAACTGCTGCGCAGTAAACCCGTCCTTTGGTTGATAGACGGATATCTCACCTACGCCATAAATGACGCAAGTTGGTAAAAGCTAGTCGAGCCTTCTGTATCCGTGCTGAGATTTCGTCACACACCAGACCACAAGGGCTGATCAGACTTCCAAGATAAGTGAAGCAGTCGACACGCTCAACTACTTCACTCCCTATCATTAGTTCGAGTGTCAATGCAACCCAATCCTGAAGCAACATTTTGCTTTTCGAGGGGAGGGGAAATCGCATCCCGAACATGCTTGCATTGTTGCTTATGTGCTGGTCAGAAGACTCTGTATCTTTTCATTGTCCTCACCAAACAGAACTATGTCATCGGTATATTCTAGGTCAAAAAGTGAATCTCCCGGTAGAAGTCCAACCCCTGGAAATTTAGATGAGGAAAGTGTTATCTCTAAAAGCACATCAACGACAAAGTTGAACAAGAATGAAGAGAGTGGACAGCCTTGACGAACACCACTTGAGGTAATCAATTCTGATGACAGTTCGTCATAAGCTCTCACTCGACCAGTTGACACCTTACTGACGAAGATGAACACAAATCATTCATTTACTGGTAGCCGAAATCACCGTAAGCAGTATTTGGAGCTGTTTGAATCATATCGATTGAAAAACAACATGGCCTTTAGTTTAAAATGGTTCGGTATTGCAGTGATTCCCGACCGTTGCTGCTACCTTGACGTCGTAGTTGAACTCGCCTATCGTGACGAACCAATCGAGCTATACTGGCTTCAACAGTCGGTCCTACCATATCAGACAGGTCGGTTGAAGAGCGGTGAGACTAAAAGCCGTAAACCCTAGGTCCGAGGGCGAAGTCGTACTGCTGACTGTACAGAGGTGTGACGGCAGCAAGGTGTTTCCTTCAGACAATCAGTATAACAGCGGTGATGCCTTCCCTCAAGGAGAGGTAGGGTTGGAAAAGGTCGGCCCTAAAAATGCACACCTCGCCTTATCCCACGGATATCTGTCTCCGGCGGTAAGGTTCCAATAAGAACGGAGCTAACACGAAAATTACTCACAAAGAGGTCGTGTGTGACCGACCCCAAGCAGGTGTCCCTTGGGCACTGCGGCCACACTCTCAGATCACTAAGACCACCCCTAACCCAATTTTCTTTTCAAGTACCTCCAGAAAAATTTTTCCACGGTATGGGATACCGGGAAGTGTTAAATGCCCTCATAGCTCTAACAGCACTGGAGATCACTGCAGTGATTGCTCTTGTTACGTGGATCACAACCAGACGGTCTACACAAATTCCTATTTATCAGCTCAAGGATCGGTGGCTTCATGAACTGATATCATCTCTTGGTTTGGTTCCTGTCGATTTTCTTCCAGCTAACTCTTGCACTAGGCAATATCGCACATCTAGGTAATCGGTAGTTTGTACTATATAGTGCTTATCCCATGCACCTCAGTTGATGAATATTCGCTATCTCATTAGTCTGTCTACCATCTTTTCCCAGTAGCCTACCGGACTCCAATGTTGTTCACTTAATGGTCCTAACATACACGAGTAACACTTCGAAGGTATCTATGATCAAATAACCTAACATATTATTATCCTCTATTCGTAATTGATATGTTTCACAGCCATGCAGTAGAACAGAACGAACTATGTTATACACTGGTTCTTTAGTTGATAGACGGACATAGCGCCTAATCTGCAGAACATGCAAGTTGGCAAGGGCAAATAAACTTAGGTCTGCACTTAGTTTTGGTTAAACACCAACCAGGACTGACAGGACTCCTGACATAAGTGAGATTCTCGATTTGCTCAACGTTGCTACACTTGTTTACATGATTTTGCTTTGGAACTGTGCACAAACTGAAGTCATGGCTTAGCATTTTGACTATATTGTGTTTGGACTGAGCACAATTGGTTTAAAACTATCACGGATTTCGAACAAAAACTCTCAAGTTCAAGCTGTTTGTTTTGGCATCTAGTATCAAATGATTTCTGAAAATGTTTGTTGTATTAACTGTTCTTGTAGTTCCTCATGAAGCGTAAGCTATCTGATGATGGTGTTACCAGCCCCCAAAAAGTTATGAAGGTATCCAGTATACCTGAAATGAGTCAGTAAACTTGTTTTATTAGTAAATATTCTTATTTTAGAAACAGTATGTGATGCTCTTGAATATCTGTTTAATCTATATCCTTCTATGAATTCAAAAAATCTTGGCCGCCCAATCGTTTTGAAGTCACAGTTATACACTCTTGTAAATAATCGGAACAAAGTAGAATCTCAACTGGTTTGTCGTGTTTTAATCATTTCTAATGCTCACTGTTTTAGTCAGATATGCAGACATCTCAGAGAATACGTTTATTAAACATTGACGACCAAATCGATGATTCCGTTGGTATAATGAAATCTGATGATTTTGTAAATTCTTTCAGAGATTTCTCTATTGATGAGTCAAAGATTTTAGGTTTAGTTATAATTATATTATTCCTAAGTTTTCAGAACGATTTGCGGAATTCACTAGTCAAAAGTATCGTTATTTAAGCTTATGTAAACGTGTTGCATCGGAGAATTTTTCGGATAATGAGATAAGCATTCTAATACAAAATGGAGCTTTAACCATCAAATCCGAGAACAGTTGGTACATTTCCACTCCATATCTTGGTGCATTTATTCGTGCCTACAAAGCTGGTCAACGGGGTTTATTAACAATAATTAAGAAGACGCGATTTAAAGAATTATTGCTATCTGTGAGTTCATTTTGCATATAAATGCTCTTTTAGTTAGTAAAACGGATAGCTAATTCCTAAAGTTAATTGTGTTTTTATGTATTCACTGAAATGAAAGTTTAGTATTTTAAGCAATATTTATGTGTATATTGTTTATCTAATTGAAAGAAGTTAAGCATAATTAAAAGGTAATGAAGCCAAATTGTTTTTGCGAAATATTATTTGGATTAAATAAATGCTTGTTTTGGCTGTAAGCGATTATTATTATACGCTAGTTCGACTTATTACACTTGATATTTTAAGCATTCAACTTTTAACAGGCGATTTGAGCACGGTTTCATCTACTCTCATTTTAGTATTTGGATAGCGTTCCTTCCTCTTATGTTAAAGTACTCGAGAGAACCAAGCTGGCTTCAGACCTGGTCGTGGCTGCATCGACCACATATTCACCATTCGTCAGGTTCTAGAACACAGGCATACCTATCGGCGTCCGACGATGGTGGTCTTTCTTGACTTAAAAGCAGCATTTGATTCTGTAGACCGCGAGACTCTGTGGCAGTGTCTGTCATTGAAAGGCGTACCTCAGAAGTACATAAACCTTGTGAAGGCTCTTTACTCGAACACTACTAATCGAGTCAGGGCTTATGGCGAACTGTCATCTACTTTTGCAACTTCAAGTGGTGTCCGTCAAGGCTGTCCGCTTTCTCCATTTTTGTTTAACTTCATCATAGACCTATTGATGGAAATAACACTCTCGTCGACTGAATTCTCGGGTATTGATCTCCTTCCAGGAGGTCCACTTATCGACTTAGAATACGCAGATGACATAGTCCTGTTTGGTGAAGACGCTGACAAAATGCAGAGTCTTCTGGTAGCGCTAAGCAACAATGCCAGAATGTTTGGGATGCGCTTCTCTCCCTCTAAATGCAAGTTGTTGCTTCAGGACTGGTCTGCGTCAACACCTGAACTAAGGATAGGGAGTGAAGTAGTCGAACGCGTTGACAACTTCACTTATCTTGGAAGTCTGATCAGCCCTAATGGGCTGGTGTCTGACGAAATCTCAGCACGGATTCGAAAAGCTCGTTTGGCTTTTGCCAACTTACGTCACCTGTGGCGGAGGCGAGATATCCGTCTATCAATAAAAGGACGAGTATCTTGCGCGGCAGTCCGTTCTGTTTTAATTTACGGCAGCGAAACATGGCCTTTAAGAGTGGAAGACACCCGTAAGCTACTAGTATTTGACCACAGATGCCTTAGAAATATTGCTGGCATCTGCTGGGATCACCGGGTAAGTAATAGTGAGGTTAGACGCAGGGTATTAGGTAATGATGGTAAATCAGTTGATGAGGTTATGAATCTTCATCGACTGAGATGGTTGGGCCACGTATTACGTATGCCTGAACACCGATTACCACGACGTGCAATGCTAACCGGTGTAGGGGATGGTTGGAAGAAAGTTAGGGGCGGCCAAACCAAAACGTGGCATCAGTGCCTGAAGTCACTAACTTTTAGTCTGAGCCATGTTGGTAGATGCAGACTACTTGGTAGGGGTCCGCGTGACTATCGTAACCAATGGTTGGAGACTCTTGGTGACATGGCTCTGAATCGATCACAATGGCGTAGATGTATACACTCCCTGTCTTCCCTTAAACTAAGAGATTAAAATCACTTCATATCTTTCTTTCTACGAACTAATTCTTTCTTCCTATACTATATCCTTATTGCAACCTTTGACCCAACCACTCCTATGAATCCGGTGTTCATCTTGCTGTGCTAATGAGGTATGGCAACCTGGACCGATGCACATATGTGCCTGGTCCTACGTTGTAGCTGACTGACTGACTGATTAAAATCAAAAATACTTACCATGAGGCTCAAGAGGGTTAAGCAAATAGGAAAGGATTACTTACCAGGGGCTAGCGGAAAAAAATCTATTTCTAAGGGTGAGAAAACAATAAGTGAAAGTACTTCATAGACATCTGGAGTCCGATCAACACTTAATGGCCACTTTTGTTGTTTTTGGAGATCTGGGATAATATAAGTCACTAAAACAGGCAAAACCTAGAAATCCTTGTTGCAAAAGATGGGATGCACTTATGTACAAAATAAGGTCTGAATGTTTTAAGTCTTAATATCCATTGTACTGCACACGATATATCGTTACTGTTGACTGCACCAATGTTCTAAATACTTGTAAAAACTATTGAATTTATACAATATGAATTCATATAAATTGTAAAGCCGTGTGCTCTTGGCATGTGTTTCTTAGTCTTCCTACATGTTATCTGAAAAAAATACCAGTTTTTATCTTTAAAAACCTTGTTAATACTAATTATTAGACTATTGAAATTGATCGTGTTAATGTATTATAAAAATGTGTCTAGTAGATGATGAGTTCACTATTTCTAAATATGACACATTTATGACCATAGAAAAATAGACGGCTTTTCATAAAAATATTGTAGATGTTCAAAGGTGAAAAGTAAAGCAACACCTGTAATTTAGCAACTTTCTGGTCAAGGTACATATGCATAGCATATTTGTCGCGGTATTGGTCAAAACAATCTACAGTTTGTAATGGTGAGACAAAGTTAAAATTGGAATTATAACCTGTTTTACATACAGGGAGATTTAGTAGATGAATAAAATAAAATGTCTGAGACGATCCTTAAGACACGATATATTTAGTTTCTAACTCGAAATTGAACTAAAAAGGCTAGTAAAATGCAATATTATGAGCTTACTTATGTACACTTCTTCATTCAACTAGCACCTTGTAATGATTGTTAATGATTTAATATATAAAATATAGATATTAGCTAATCCAAAAGATAAAAGTTCATACTCGAACTTTCTTTTACTCAAAGTCCCTTACGTCAGTGTCACTTGATTGCTTTTTCCATATCACAAAAATCTGATGGTAGAATACGTGCAACTTTTCACTTTATGTACCTTTAACACATTTGTTTTACTAGCGTATTGAAGGATTAAACTTATTGTTGCATAATGGCTAAGTAGTAATCAAAACATTTAACTTTCTACTACATGATGATATTTAAAATCCCGTTCTACTCTACCTAATTTGGTTTGTGGTCGAGTAGTTTTATTAACTTTTATAATAAATTTATAGCTCGAGGCAAAATTCACAGTCGTACAAGGTCAGTGAACCACATTTTTATCGATTTATTTTTTATCCTGTTGCTATATGTACTCAAATCGTAATAGGCATTTGAATACTTTTCTGGTTAGACAGTTCAATTCAGTCGTAAAAAATGTAGGACCAGGAACAGACGTGGTCAGTTCAAGTTGCTACACCTTATTAGCTCAGCGAGATTATTAAGAGAAATTCAAGAGTAGGAGAAGTAGTTCCAACATCAGTTGTAGTAGTAGAAACGACTAGACATAAACATTTTAAAAATATATAAACTTTCAAGACTCAGTATCTAAGAGAATATGAAGAGTGAATGCATCTGCGCTACTACAACTGATTCTAAACCATATCACCTAACGTCTCCAACCACTGATTCATAATAACCGATCGGACACCAAAAGGATATTCTGAACCTACCTACTAGGTTCAATCTAAATGTTAATGACTCCAGAAATGACGTAAGTCGGTAATTAGATAAATATGTTAGGATCAGACATCTTCAATGAATATTCTTCGTTATTAAAACTTATACTTGAGTGTCTTTTCAGTTGGATAGGACTCGGTAAATTGTTTGATTCTCGATGTTTGTTAATGAAAAGTCTCGTATGTACACAAAAACCACACATTACTTTCTCATTTTCAAATTTCCCCATTTGATTTACGTGAGGCGTCACCTTCATTTAATATACTTGTTTGTCATATCATTTATGCTTAAACCAGTATATAGATAGTTTCCTTGTTTATGGTTCTGGTTTTTCTTAGGGATAAAAGTGGAAGACTGACGTCTAAAGTTGTCTTCCCACAACTACCGTTCATCTTAAAGTGAGCATATAACTTTCTTCCAATTAAAAAAAAATCTCAAATTTCAACCATGGATGTACTTAGTAAAAGAGATCACATTATCATAATAAACCTGAAAAAACCAGTTTATTGCGTGTAGTTTCAAGGTTATTCATTGACAGGTACTATAACTAGGTGCGTGACATCCAAAAAATAACGACGATGAAATATTACATACGTTTCAGCAACATAATATCCATAACTAATAATTTCAACTTGTGAAATCTGTTGCTTCACTCGACAGTCTGGAAGTTCATTTACTAGTTTCTTCCGACGGTACTTGAAAGTCACTTATTTATTTTGCCAAGTTACCTCAAATTTTTTTTACTGAATTACACGCAACTGCGCATTAGTGAAATCGGAAAAATCACTCTTCTAGAAGTGGTTCGTATTTCGAATTAACTACGCTAACGACACTCACTCTGAAAGCACTTATTAAACCTATACTTCTGACTATAAACGCACAGAATAACAAAGATTTAGCTACTTTCGATAACATAGTCGATGGAATATCTCTACTAATATTAAATTGTTAGCAGTTTGTCGTAGTTAATTCCTCAAACGGTTTTTGTCTAGCTGGTAGTCGATACCATATATCTCTTTGCAAGGCAGTTTTTGAAAGTAATGTTTTTTATCTTAAAAGATGAGTATTTCTCATCGCTAAACACTACATCTGTTGGCACAATTCATTTAGATTGGATATCAAGTACTAGTTGTGTTCAAAAAGCATACTCGTGGCGCAAACTAATCTTCCCATTATTTTCATCAATGCTTCAATTTATTGAATTATTACGCACTATATATCTAATGTTTATTTCATACACTTTTCTTCAGGAGATTTTTCATCGAAACCTGGGTAAAGGTGCTTATCTAGGTCATATGTATCACTTACTCGCTCATTTAGGAGCTGGAACTTTGAATTCGTAAGTCCGTCGTCTTCCTATTTACTTGCACATAAATCGGTATGTTTAATTCAAACGTTATAGAAGTTTTGCTTCCTGATAAGTATTCATGCACACAAAATCGATAAATAAGACAGTTCAACTCATTATAGAAATGACAATACCAGATGTAACATTGTCTCTGACCTAGCTCTTTTATCGGAATATGCTGGTACTAATGTGTGATATTAAAGCAGTTAAAAAGTAATCATTTTAAACGTCAATAACCATTACTAGTAAATAAGTAGTTGGTCAGGAACTCCAAGTTGTCGCGCTTACACTCAGTTCTTAGATTGCAACTCTGTAAAAGTGTACATATTTCAAGAAATGGATTAACTCTCATGATTAGTGTTTCTATTTTCAGATTTGAATCAGAGTCTCCATATATTGGATGGAACGCGTTGTCCATTATCTCTATGAGTCAAACAAGGGAAACTGGTGGTTCCATGTAAGATAGTTTGAAACATTAGATTACTTCCCTGCCTATTATGGCTTAGTCGTTTAAGTGCTCGTATCTTATCTATCCAGCCACATGTCTCTTACTTAGTAGGATATGCATTATACTACGAAATAACCTTAGCCAACCAGTCATTGAAAAACAGGGAGCACCAAATAGCTGTTTTGTCTCCATATGGGATTTCTCAACGTTGGGTACCCTCAAGCGCATCTAAGACTAAATTTAGGACGTTCAAACCTAGCAGCAAACGCCTAATCTTCAAACCACCAAGTCAGCATCCAGTCGTTTTTGTAGATAAACTCTCTGCATTCAGTTGGATATACTATGATGTATTTATCTGGACGGAGGAAGTCTACTTTCATTTAGTAATAACGTTGTGTAATTCACAAAAGTTTTGAACATGTTATTATGGGGAAAATTTGTACTATTACTATTATTTTCAAAATACTCGGATGTCGATTTCACGAATATTGTTGTGTAGTTTGCTTTCACAAACATATACTTTTTGTCATACCAGTAATCTGTTTTTGCTCCTATTGGTGTTCACTCTTGTACAGGATTCAAACTAGCTCTGGTTTGCTTATCAGAATGTAACGCTTCAAGAAAAAATGATGAACTTTATACAACAGGTTCGACTGGTTCTACTTTGACAAATTATTGGGAAATTAACTTCACTGTTTCGGTTTCCACTTTTGGTATAATATAAAAAATGTTACCTTCTATATTTGTATTGGTTAAAAGCAAATCCATTTTATATTGTAATTAGCTTTTGCTTAAGATGCACATAGTAAACCAAACGTAGTAAACTTTCGAGTAGTTATTTAAAGATCTTGTAAGAAACGGTGAACTATCGGGATGAATGAACTAAACACATTAAATGAAGATGTCAGATTGTTTTAGCTATGCAATTGCCTTCATTTTAGCTATATCTAGATTTTATTTGGTTTCATTTATCACCTACTTTATGTTTTAACTCTTATCTTTATTTAGTTATTATTAAAACGGTCAGTATCCTTCTGCATTTGTTTTTTCAGGCCCTAAGATTAGAATAAAGTAACTGCACGATGTAAATAAGTGTCTTTAGTATTTATATGGATTTAAGGATCTCGACAAACAGGCTGCACTCTTACTGAAATAGCGGATAACTCAAAACTACTTAGTGATAAATTAGTTGGAAAATTCCCAGCCAGTTTTATCTAGCCGAAGTTTTGTACAATAACGTTAACCCCAATTTAGTTTGCGATTGCGCATTGGTCTCAGCTAAACAAATCAATAGTCAAATATATGTGTGTTGGTGGAGCTAGATACGATCATTTGTATCCAACTTGATATCTTGAAAGGCTAAGAATATCGTTAATGAGACCTCAGTGCTAGTCATCTTAACAGGATCACTTCTACAAGTAACGTAGTCGCAAGGTCTGTCTGAGTTCAACAGCAATTAACACTCTAATTGTGTGGACAATTATAAACTACATGGTGATGGAAAATTGTTCAACGTAAAATGAAACCAGCAAGCCAAATAATATGACCAAATTTAGAATACTGATTTTGGACGATGGGGGCTTGTGTAGTGTTTCCAACTGTTAAAGCAAGGTCTGATTTCCCACCACAAATTTTAAACAGATGTAAGAACATTTCTTTATAACAATAATATCTTCACCAATGAAGTATTGTCTTTTACGAGGAATCAGCCAAAAAGTATGATATCATAATGACCTGTTTCTTTAGATTTTTCATAGCACGTTGTACTTGGTGTAGTAAGACAATTTAAGTGAAGAGATAAAACTAGAGATTAGTGAGTCTTCTTGTCATAAGAACTTATGGTTGTTCTACCGTAATACCTAAATTTTGGACAAACTTTCATAGTTTAATCAGCTTGTGGCTAGTGAGTCACTTTTACGTTCCCAATAGCCCTGTTCTCTTTGTAAGCAGCTACGACCTTCGACACATGCACCTCTTTTGTTCATATCCTTGTCAGCTATATGCTTATGTGTGCTAAGTGTAGGTATCTATATAATCATTATCTAACCCGACATCCATCTTCTTTCTCGGATTATTCATTATTACGACCTACATTAACGCTTGTAATAAGTAATATTTTGAGTAGACAGGTTTTGCCTTGTGTCTCTGATTTATGGCTGAGTGAAATACATGCATCCAAAAACTCGCATTTTATGTTATTCTGTTATTTATTGACGCAGTTAATCCGATGAATATATACAAATTAAACCAAGTAGGTTTATTTCATCATTTCTCGTCTGTAGTAGTCAACTACAGGTCAGAACCTCGATCTGACTAATCCCTAAAAGATTAGGATTACAACAATTGCTTAAACAATGAGGTTTTGTCGTACAGAAAGAACATAAACATTCATCACTAATGTTTGTTAAAAGGATATTTGAATGCAACTAATTCGGATTTTAGGTTATTTTACAATGTGTCCTGACGGCGAAGTTACACAACAGTTGAAAGTGTAAAAATTTACTATGATTGGGAAAAAGATATTGAGCTAGAACCGACATTTAAGAAGGCTCTTTTACCGTTAGGACATAATAAATTTGTTTAAAGGAGTACGATGCCTATTTTTGACATTTTCAAAGTGCTTACAGAGTGAACATACATTTATCATTGTGAAATCAGGAAATGTTTAGTCTTCTTATATAGCCCTAACTAATTTTCTATCCGATGAAAACTAAGCTAGCAACATAATGTACATGAGTAGGTGAAAATCCGCTCGTTTACTGCTTCCTGTGTGTGATCTCACTATGGATGTGATTTGGTACATAGAACATATTGAATCCCCCATTTAATACGAGATGAAGTCGTTTATCTCATACACCATTTTATTGAGACGAGGTGATAAATCACGTAGAAACAAATCTTCAGTTATCATTCAATAAAATAATTAGGATGACGAACAATAAAAGTGGATTATGCGGTTGAACATTTTCTTGATTGTGCAAAAATATAGACAAATATGAAATCATTGTGAAAGACACTTAGCTTGTTTTATCTAATAAGCAATATGTTGTTAGTCTCTGGATTATGTTCGGATTACCACTGTGCGATTGTCAAATAGTGAATCAGACTGTGAGTATGTCTTTGCAATTAGGTTAGAATCTATTGTGTTATCTTCCACAGATCCAATGCTCCCATAAGACCGGACTAATGACATTTGCCCACGCGAAATCGAGGCTGTGCTAAGAATTCGTTGACATCTAACAGTAGGTTCAACACGTTTTGGCCTGTATACCAGCAGATGGGCGGGATAACGACATACTGATTGGGCAAGACAATGGAAAACTACGAGGAATGTGACACAAACTATCAATGGTAAGAAGAAGCCAATATGACTAACTTCCTTTGTTCGGCACCGAAATAAGTTGTACCAAGCCCATTGTGTGCGATTTATGGCATTTTGTACGTCCAAACATACGGCGAAACGATGACCAGAGCGTTCTTTTACAAGGAAATTTTGATTCCCTCCTTCTAGAGAGTTATATCTTAGGAGATTATTAGTGTAGTAATCTAGGAGACTATAATACGCTGCTGAACAATTTTGACAAACCGTCGAACTGATATTCAAGGAGCTAGACGAGGGGAAATTTAATACATTGAGAATAGATATGTTGGGATTATTGATGAACTGCATGAAACAACTTAAAGCATCATCAAGCTTTTCGAAGAATGTACGCACGTTTTTACTGTAGACTTGCAAGTTGTATAGAGAATCCGTATGTAGAAGGCGTCTAGGCTGTTCTATGTTATTGAAAGAATCCGCTGATATACTAATGCTTTGATCGGAATAAACCTCTTCAAGACAATGGGAGCAGAAGGAACGATTCCATTTATCGAAAATGAAGTCGATAGAATCTATTGTACCCTGAAACCGAATAGTGATACCATAATAGTAAGAAATCTGCAAACAAAATCATACGCACATACAACATGAATTCCTGACATTTGTGCCTTTGAAGTAAAAGGAATAACGTTATTCACATAAATGCTTTAACATCTGTATAATTATCGCGCAACCGTCGTTAACTTTGTGGTTTAAAGCTATGTTTGAGAAAAATGTTACCGAGTTTGCTATCGCCCTACTTCAATTACATTCAACCTTTAAGGTAGTAGGTAATTGTTGAACGTTGATTTATTACGCGCAAAAAAGATACCAATTCGAATACAGATTGAAATCCTCCCTATTTATATTGTGGATTGTCATGCCTTGTGTGTTGATAAATAGATTGTATTGTACACTGTTAGCCAATAACATTGCCGAATATCTTTTTTAGACGTTTTTAATAAGTAATAATGTACTGCAAGTACACTCGCGTTGTTGAATATGCACATGCAGTAGTTAATAAGCTCGTTATACACACACCTTAACAGTATGTTTTTCGTGTGAAGCCTGAAAGACATACAAAATTCGTTTCAGTTATTTATCAGTCGGGCTGAAAGGAACTGTCAGGGAACAGTCATTAATGACTGTTCCGTCGGAAGACGCATGTCTATGAAAACTCAGAGGTTCCTATACCTAGTCTTCATCACTAGAAAGCTATGAAGAAAAGGATAGTGGTCGTTTTCTAGAAGCAATATTCTTAAATTTTTCTTTTCGTTGACGGGAATAAACATCACTAGAAGTGCTGATAGGTCATGTAAAACATTACTTCTGTCCCATCCTATTAAGATCATAAGCATGAGTGGTGGGATTATAATTTATGGACAACCTTGAGCAACCCATGGTGACCCACAGACGATCCACTTTGCCACGGTCAAGAGATGGTATTTACGACTATGAACTATAGTAAGGATTTTCGTCACGAACTGACATAACCTATAATCGCAAAATACCATTTTAATACATGTGTGAACGTATTCTGTGTCCAAATTTAAGACTTGTTATCTTTAGTTTTATTGGTTCAGACGGGACTGTGATATAGGCTTTTCACATTGATGGTTTTACTGGGATTTCTGAGATCAGCATTTTAGAATATTATCACTCGCTTCAAAGGCTGAGAATATTTAAGTTCATTTCAAAGGCCTATCTTTTGTTTCTAAAATACAAATGAACAACCGAAAATTAATAAGTTTACCCTGATTCGAAGTGCAAACCTCGAAATCACTCACCCTTTCTGTATTCGCCAAGAGATCAGCACATGCCTCGCCATTCGCACTATAAGCCTCTTGCTCTTCTATGACTTTCTTTAGTTTATACACAGTTTCACTACACCAACCACAAAAGGAAACGGGTGCTGTTTTGGTTGACATATTGTATATTATATTCTTAACGTATATCGACACATTTTTACGGTACTCAATGCAAATATTATTTATTAAGATGCTGTTACTCCCAAGTGACGAACATGCTTCGAAATAGATAGACAACAAAAAAATTAATGAACTCAAGTACTTCTTAAGTGCCATTGCATCACATAAGGCAGAGGAAAAATTCAAAAGTAACCCATACTCGACCTTCAAAGGACACGCTTTTACAAGCAGATAAACATGAAAAATTTAAAATAGCTCCTTAGTTTCCGGAGGTACGTTAAGATTCCAAAAACAGCATAACTCATTTTGGAAATGGGCAAACCTGAAACGATTATTAGGAAAGATATTTGTTAGGCCTGAATAGCCGGACTAATCATAAACTGCAGGTCTGAAATCACCTACGGGAAGCTATGTATTCTGAATAGGTTTGCACGTTTGACGAACGTCGTCAGTTACTTTTCAGGACAGAAATTAATTTGTAAACTAAATCCTTCCCTGGATATACACCTCATTGAAACCAAAGTACAATTGTTTATACATTTCTACAACTATTTCTACGGGTACTGTATACAGGGACAAAATGTCCAACTTGTTTTTGTCTCACTAAGTTGTTAACAAGTTTGTGAAAGACCGCTTCAATGCATGCTCTTTATTACTGCATAACATGTACATTCGCATATGTAGATGCATAATGATATTCATGTGGGTGTAGTGACTCACATTTATAACGGGAACACGACTGGTTTAAT